TGGCATCACGTCGAAACTATCGTTTTTCGTTCAACGGTTCCCACGGAACGCATTCGATCATTATTGTTGCCTGCTGGCATTGAAGTGTTGTCCAAGTATCTTTCTCGGATATACAGGTTAAACGTAACTTCGCTCCTTTATCGCAGGAATAACATCCGGTGATATTTATAAATTGTAGATGACATGGTAGTGTGTAAAACGAATATAATCGATAATCAACTACTAGTCGGCTATAATCGACTAATGACGTCACTGCGACTTGCGGTTCAACTTTCAACTAGCATGCCAAAACTGACTACCGTAATCGAATATTATGAAAGAATAATTGAATATTAAAATAGTCGACTATCATAGTTTTAAGTTTGAATATATTCAAAAAAAAGCGGCAAAGAATGTAGTGATTAGCGGGAATAACAAATATATTACCTACAGTGGGTTTCTCCTCAAGACAATGTCTCGTGTTTGGCAGTTCTACCAAAAGGAAGAAGACACTATCAGGTGCAACATCTGCAGTAAAGCAATGGCCGTTTCAACAAGAGCGTCAACTAGCAACCTCTGGAGCCATTTGAAAAAACAGCATCCCAATCTTTTGTCGGAGGACTCTGTATCTTCCCAATCGTTGATAACGAGTTTTTATGCACCTGAAGATGTGGACGAGAAGCTCATCAACTTCATAGCATGCACGTTCTCATCTGTTCGTATCGTAGAGAGTGAAAAATTGCAAACCCTACTACGCAGTGCTCCAAAAGATTACAGGTCGCCTTCTAGATCAAAAGCTGCTCGTTTGATCGATAGGAAGGCCGAGCTGGCGGATAAATCCACCAAAGAAAAACTGGTGAAAGCCACCAGCATAGCCTTAGCAACCGACACTTGGACTACTCCTAATACACGGGACAGTTTCCTTGGTGTCACAGCCATTCTCGTTGATGAGCAATTTACCAAAACTAGTTTGGTTGTTGACTTAAAAGTGCTCGAACCGGAACAAAGGTAAGCCTGATGTTAAAATAATTAAATTTTGCTTTCAGACATACAGCTCGATATCTGCAAGATGAACTGGAGGCAATCATTGAAAAGTTTTCCCTAAGAAATGGTAACTTGACTACCATTGTAGCAAACAAAAGCCAACAAACATCAAGAAAGCTATAGAGATGACGGGTTTTACATAGTGAGTTACAAACAGCAATGGTTGTTTATATATGTTTTATAGTTCCCATTGTTCTGCCCATCTGATCCAAAATTTTGTAGCTGAAGCGTGTAAATCGCCAACGATAAGAGGAGTCATCAAGAAGTTGAAAGGGATGCTAACACTAATGCACCAATCGCATGTATCTCATGGATTGTTCCTAAGGTAAATATTTTCTTGAAGGATCTTTCATATTCAGTATTCAGGTTGTGTGCTGATTTTAATTTAGCAGCATGAGCAATACCGGGGGTTGTCCCGACAAGGTGGAATTCTCTATACATTTCAATTTGTGATTCCTTAAGCAGCATAGATGCATGCCAGGAATTCCTATGCATAATGCACCGTGAACCCTTCCAAGAGTCCGAAGTGCACCTGATGAAACTGTTCAAGAAAACGTTTTATCCGTTTTTCCATCTCACCGAAGATTTCAGCAAAATGGAAAGTTGCAAATCCTCTTTCATCGTAGGTTTCTCTTATGCAAAACAAGAACTCGGAAGGTTAGTCTTGAGATGGAACAAAATTTATTCTCATTGCAGCTTGAGTCAACAAAATTTCCTGCCTTCAACACACAAGTTCTTTTTACAAAATGTTATGTTGATATTTGAAAGAAGGTTTCGAAAATGGTTTGGAGACAGAACATTGTGGAGGATGCTTTTGATATACCCGAGGTAAGAATAGTTATCCAATAGTCACTATGAAACGTTTTCAGGTTTGCATTTTCTTTAGTTTTTGATCAAAGAAAATGGGGAGAAGTGGTGGAGGATTTTCTTTGCTGTTTTAACAACGAAAACAGCGATGTCCAAATCATTCCGGAGAATAATCATTATCAAAGAGTAAAATTTTTTGTGTTTCTTATTACTATTTCAATTTAGAATGAAATAACTATGTATCGTGCATCGATCGCTGCAGTGAAATGGGAAAGAGAGCCTCTCGAATATTGGGGAACAAAGAGATACGAGCTTCCCTTACTATCCAAAATAGCAGCAACGTTGCTAGCTGTGCCATCAACTTCCGTTGATTCAGAGCTTCTGTTCAGGTAAAAGGTATCAAGTTTTTATAACAATAACTAACACTTTCAGTCAAGCAGCCATGATGTATAGCGACAAACAGAGAAACAGACTTTCTCCAAGAAGGTGCCGAAATTTGCTCCTTATCAATGCATTGGTCAAAAAACCTAACTCAAGCATGCTTTCAACAACAGAAGATAATTCAGATGATGATGAGCAGGAAAATGTCGAAGAAGAGATCCGTGAAGCAGAAGATAAAAATGTTCTAACTGTTTAATGATGAAAATGTTCTAACTGTTTAATGATGAAAATGTTCTAGCTGTTTAATGATGTATATGTCCAATTTTTTTTTGATGATGAATAAATTTTTGATGAAATAAATTTTGTGAATTGCAAGCGCGCTCTTTTGCGAAAATTTACAAGTAAGATATGTTAAAAATAGTCGGTTGAGAGTTGAAATAGTCGACTACTTCCAGCAATAGTCAACTTATTCGAAATCAACCATTTCTTAAGAGACCAGAATAGTTGGTATTCAAAAGTAGTTGAAAAGCGATTTTTCGTGACACACTATGACATGGAAACTGATACGTAAACGTATGTTACTCTACGGTCATGGAGGATTCTAGAGCCACCTTTGACTAGTCTAAGGTAGAATCTATGACTATCTGCCCGTTAATTTCCTTTATTGATCCTTTCATTTGGTTTAGTGACAACTTTCGGGATGAAGTTGCAAATTCATGATAAGGACAATTACATGATGCTTCTTCTTTCTGGTTCACTGAGCAGTCACAATTACGCGTTGTACTGCAATTCACTAAATTGTTTGTTGCTTCTAGTTCTGTCGTACAGCACATCATAATGCTCTGTTCTTCAACTAAATAGGAACTACTCGCAGAAATGGCATATGCCTTCTGTCGTCCATATACGGGAGCTCTTGTGTGTGAGATTATAGTCAAGTTGAACAGCGGATGTTTGTGAGTTTCGTACGGTGGCATGGTGATTTCTAAGGTTTCTCATCTTTTAAAGAGGGTTGTTTTAATTTTCATGGTTACTTCTGTAGTCCATCTCCATAGGTCAGGCATCCACAAAATAAAAATCCACATGATCTCTGACATCCTGTTTGAAATGCAGAAGCATAAGGTTCAAGTTCATGGAACCTCGCTGTGGCTGCTGTTGTTCCACAAAATTCATTGCAGGAGCTCATACTTGAGCATCTATGATGTGAAATTACCTTCATCTTTGTGTTACGCGTATAATATTTGAACGTCGGAACGCATGTATGTATCCTATGTGATCTTGTAATTTCTACTGAACAAATCGAGACATTCTTATGCAGAAATTCAATACACGCTTCCCTAGCTCGTAAACTGAATACAAATTCCTGCGTATATTCTTTAACGCAATTCCTTCGATTGTAACAGATCAAGTCGGTTGTTCTACGAATGTGTGCGTTTTGGCAGCAATTTGTTACAGTAAATGAAATATA